AGAGCGCGGGCGGGAGAGCCTCGCGCCCTGAAAATGGTTCGGGCTGGGCCAATTCAAGTCCCCTATTGGACTCGCGGTCATGGATAGTACAGACCGCGACTGGGACACGCCCCCCTCCCGGGGCTCAAGGAAGTTATCCAACCTGAGGGCAGGGAGCCCCAAATTTGAGGGTGACCTGACATAACCTGGCACCCGATGATTGTTCTTAACGAGATATGGAGGCCCGGGGAGGTAACAGTTTCTACTCTGGAAAACATCTCCAGAAAACTCCCAAAATTATTTCTCTGGGTAACAGCACCCGATGATGATACCTCTAAACAGCAGGAGAAGGTGACAGTAGAAACTGAGTACTAACCTTTGCTTCTGCAACCATCATTTCTGTTAAAACCTCAGGGCCAGGATATAATACATAGGGGAGCTCTGGAAGCTGGGAAACTAGAGGAGAGTGGTTGTTAGGAAGAGGAGACCCAGTAACCATAGTTGGGAGAGATGGAGTCAGGAAGCTCAGGAGGGATGCTGAGTTGGTTCCTATCCAGCTGTCTCGGGAATTTGGAGAGTGGGGGTACAGCTGCTTGAGTCCTTGACAGAAAAATATGCGAAGAAAATAAGGAGTGTTTTTCAGTTTTCATAACCTCCCATTCCACTCCTGGTTAGGCCCCCCCCAGGATGCAATGGCACAGCCCCCCCGGCTGAGCCGCTCTGGTGCCCCCCCACTTTGGGATCCAGCTTCCCCTGCTCCCACCTCAGGCCCCAGGCCTCGACTTTGGGAGGGTCAAGATGTGCTGGCCAGATGGACAGATGGGCTTTTATACTTGGGCACCATCAAGAAGGTAAGACCTTTGATGTTGGACCTGTCACCTTCCCCCATTCCCCTTACCTAGTTCTGATTCCCATTTATCCTCTTGTGCTCACCCATGCCAGGTGGACAGTGCTCGGGAGGTGTGTCTGGTCCAGTTTGAGGATGATTCCCAGTTTCTTGTTCTATGGAAGGACATTAGCCCTGGTGAGACCCTAGAGGCCTGGGAGCATGCATCACATGGAAGACAGAAACCTGGCTTGGGGGACAGAAAGGGGCTTAAGGACAGCCTCCATTCCCTCCCACCCCCGACCCTAACACTGTGTTCCCTCATAGCTGCCCTCCCTGGGGAGGAACTCCTCTGCTGTGTCTGTCGCTCTGAGACTGTGGTCCCTGGGAACCGGCTGGTCAGCTGTGAGAAGTGTCGGCACGGTGAGAGGGCAGGATACCTGAATGGCCCCAGCTTGTCCTGGACATTGCAGGTTGCCTCTGACCCTTCCCACCAGTACTGGTCTTTATGCCACCTGGCCTGAGTCCCCAAGCCACTGCTCTGACCAGTCTTCTCAACCCTGTAACCTTACTCTGTCCTCAACACAGGGAGAGGCAGCCGTGGAAAGGGGGTGTGTGAGCTTTGCAAGGCAGAGGGTAGTTCAAATATTCTTTCTTAAGTGTATGATTTTGGGTAAGTCTCTAAAGCACTAGGAGCCTCAGTCCTCTCATCTATAAAATAAGGGTAACACCCTCACCCCCAAACAGCACCATGGTCAAAGATTAAATGAGATAGAGAAGATTCTTCCTTTCCCAATATCTAGTACTTACAGGTTTACAATTCAGTAAGTGCTCTACCATCAATATCATTATTCAGCTTATCACCAGGACTGCCATGTTCCAAGGGCCCCAGCCCCTGGAGAGGGAGAGGGCACGTCTTGGGTCTGCCGCCAGTGCATCTTTGCCATTGCCACCAAGGTAAAGGCACCTTCCTATGGGAGCCTCCCACCCACAGCCTCTCCCCAAGCCTTTCCTCTACCTACCCCTCTGAGGTGGCCTGCCTGTTCTATTTCTGCAGAGGGGGGGTGCACTGAAGAAGGGCCCCTATGCCCGGGCCATGCTGGGTATGAAGCTATCTCTGCCATATGGACTAAAGGGGCTGGACTGGGATGCTGGACATCTGAGCAACCGGCAGCAGAGCTACTGTTACTGTGGTGGTCCTGGGGAGTGAGTAATGAGGGGTGGGGGTTAAGGAACGAGTGATATGGTGTGGTGGTGTGGGAAATCCCAGGGAGTAGAGGAGAAGGAACAGGGTAAGGGTATGGCAGTAGATAATGATCAGGGTTTGAGGCAGTTAAGGGGAAGAGTATCTGGAGGTCAATAGTCTTGTGTACCCCGTCAGGTGGAACCTGAAAATGCTGCAGTGCCGGAGCTGCTTGCAGTGGTTCCATGAGGCCTGCACCCAATGTCTGAGCAAGCCCCTCCTGTATGGGGACAGGTGAGACCAGGGAAGACTCTCCAGGAGCCCAGGGAACTCTTTTGATATGTCCTACCCTCTCAGTTTTCCTGCATCTTCTTGTCTTATCCATTCTCTTCCCGGCCTCTGAAGTGTTCCTCACTAGTTCATTCAACCTTTGCTTTGTGAGTCGTCCATAGCACGATACACTTTTCCTGTATGATGTGTGTTCTTTCTCTTGTTCACACCCAGGTTCTATGAGTTTGAATGCTGTGTGTGCCGGGGGGGCCCTGAGAAGGTCAGGAGACTACAGCTTCGCTGGTGAGCATGACCTCAGTGTAACTTCTCTCTCTACACCCCGTTTTTCACTGTGCCTGCCCAACCTCTCACAGTGGACTCCCCTGGCTTTTGTAATGCTTCCACAACCTTGACAACTCAATGCTTCTCCAGGGTGGATGTGGCCCATCTTGTCCTCTATCACCTCAGCGTTTGCTGTAAGAAAAAATACTTTGATTTTGACCGGGAGATTCTCCCCTTCACCTCTGAGAATTGGGACAGTTTGCTCCTCGGGGAGGTAAGGAGTAGTGAAGTTTTGCGGGTTATGGTGGAATAAGGAGATGTGAAGAAAGGGGGAGGGAGGAATCACTGCTTCCTTGACCCTATTTTCCCTCCTTTTCCCCAGCTCTCAGATACCCCCAAGGGAGAACGTTCTTCCAAGCTCCTCTCTGCACTCAACAGCCACAAGGACCGGTAAGTTAAAGAGAGGCTCAAAAAAGGTATGGAGATGTGGGTATGGAAGCCTGGGAGGGGAGGTGCTGCAGTCCACCTGGAAGATCATCTCTGGAAAAAGACTGAGTAATGGCAAAAGAGGGGCCCTTTTCTACAGTACTGACCTGTATCATTTCTCTCCTCATCCCAGTTTCATTTCAGGGAGGGAGATTAAGAAGAGGAAGTGCTTGTTTGGTCTCCATGCTCGGATCCCTCCTCCTGTGGAGCCCCCTACCGGAGATGGAGCCCCTACCAGGTCACTGGTCCAGGGGGCATGGGGAAATTCTCAGGGTATTAATCTGGGGGTAAATATGTATGAAGATGGGGAGGGCTTTGGGGTGGTCCGGGAGGGGGCTGGGGGGATAAGGAGGCCTCTTACAGCTTCCCTTCAGGGCAGGGCCCAGGGGGAGGGGTTCCGCGTCCCCTGGGGAAGCGCCGGAGGCTGGAGCCAGAGCCCCTGAAGAGGCAGAAGGAGAAGATGGAGGAGCTAGGGCCACCCTCAGCAGTGCGCAATCAGTCAGAGCCCCAGGAGCAGAGGGAGCGGGCCTCTCTGCAGAAAGCACTGCAGGTACAGAGACCAGGGTAACTCCATGGGGAAAATGTTGGTATGGGAAGCAATCAAGGATTCTCTCTCAGTCCTTTTTCCTATCTCTAGGCCTCAGTGTCTCCATCACCCCCCAGCCCTAACCAGAGTTACCAGGGCAGCAGCGGCTACAACTTCCGGCCCACAGACGCCCGCTGCCTGCCCAGGTCAGTGCTCCTACCCTCTGCAACCAGATATGCTCCCTTAGAATCTCTCCTCCAACTGTCTATATTCTCTGGACCTTTGCACCCGGAATTCTTTTCCCCCTCCCTTTTGGCTACCCACCCTTGTCCAATGACTGGTCCCTAGTATCCTGGGGATGGGGGTACCTCAGGGGCAGTGTTTGAGCTGTCCTTCTTGGGTAGAATGTCCTGTTACCCTTCCTCAGGTCCTGACTTTTCTCCCTTCCCAACCCCAGCAGTCCCATCAGGATGTTCGCTTCCTTCCACCCCTCTGCCAACACTGCAGGGACCTCTGGGGATGGCGAACCCCCAGACAGGTGAGGTTTTACCCCTTTACCTGTGACACCCCTTAGCCTCTTTTCTTAAGGCCCTCGGTCTCCAACCATTCCTCCATTTCTGTGATCCACATATAGCCTCCATTTCTGGTCAGTAATTATGTATTATTACTGTGTATTACTATGTATGGCTGGACTCATAATTGTCTTCTCTTCTTAGGTCACCCCTGGAACTTCACATTGGTTTCCCCACAGATATTCCTAAAAGTGTCCCCCACTTGATGACTGCCTCATCTTCCTCAGTCCCAGCCCCCTCCCCAGGTCTTCCTAGACGCTTATCACCCTCTTCTCCCCTGTGCCGTAATTTGTCTCCTGGGACTGGTGGAGCAGCCAGAGGTGGGGTTGGCTATCTGTCCCGAGGGGACCCTGTTCGGGTCCTTGCTCGGAGAGTACGGCCTGATGGTTCTGTGCAGTACCTGGTTGAGTGGGGAGGTGGGGGCATCTTCTGAACAGCCTGCCTCTGCCCACCTCCCCATTCACATACGCTGGCACTTTCATACCCTAATCTCTGACCTCACCTGCAGCTGGGATGTACCTGGGGAAGTAGGGGATAGTTCTCCCTACTGCCTAGGCGGAATTCAGGTAGGGGAGTGGAGAAGAGGTTCTCTCTTCTCTACTCCCTTCATGATTCCTGAGCTTCCCCCATCCCCTTTACATTTCCTTTGATGTTATTTTGTTACAGCTTTTAAAATATTTTTAAAATTATTTAATCCCTGGGGACGGAGACTGAGGGGAGGGATGAAAAAGGACCCCAGGTTCTGTATGATTGAAATAAAGATAAACAAATGTAGCAGCTGAGTCATTCTGAAAGATGAGAACATAGGTACTAGAATCGCTTCTAATCTTCCCAACCAAATTCACATACGTTGACAAGAAAAGGCAAAAGGCAGAAAGAACCAAACATAGGATTTATTAGGGTCCCAGTCATCGGAACAGGGCTTATCATGGTAGGACTGTGTGGGAGTCAGAAACGGATTCTGTAACCTGGCGCACCCAATGCAGGTAGGGGGAGTTTCCCTGCTCCACAGGCAATGCAATCACCTCAGCCACTTCATAAGGGTGCACAGAGCTGCAAAAAAGGTGGTGGAGGGGTGCCCCTCAAAGATTTACTCAAAGGAGTCCATCCCCTCAGGCTGCCCAGCAAGTCCCACCCCACCAGTACCCACCCTCACCCCTGCCATCTTAAAAGTTCTCACCGAACAAAGTCTGTCAAAGCTGGAATCAAGGAACTTTGGGTTTTAATCATCTAAGGGGTGAAAAAAAACATGGTTGAATCCCAGGGTGGGATTGATTTCATGATCTCTTGAGAGTGAGGGGTCAAAGGGATCAGAGAATTGAGGTTTTGTAGGGTGGGGAAATGATTCTCACCATCAGCACCTCACTGTCCTCCTCAATTTTTCCTTTCCACTCATAGCTGTAAAGGTCAGGGAAAAAGTATTATGGGAGCAAAGGTTTTGTTTTTTTTTTTCCTCCCAAGGGAAAAGTTTGCCAGTTAGCCCCTAGAGTTAGGTTAAGTTAACCACGAACAACTATGACTCACATGGATGTAATCTGAGGGATGAGGTTGACGCAGGCTGCCAGGCGCTTCTCCACCACTGCCCTGAAAGTGAAGGCAGCGCCGTTAAGGGCGCCCCAGGACCGGGATTTTTGCACTTGCCAGCCCAGAGACAGGTTTCCAAAGCTGGAGCAAGCACAAAGCAGCGGGAGGTCACTAATTCTCTAACACCCCCAACTCTCCCTTCAAGATCATCTCTCCACACTTAAGTCCCCACCTGGCGATCTCCTTGGCGACCTTCTCATTGGGGCAGGTGACAAAGGCTGCCGAGATCGAGCCGGGAACATAGCCGGAGTCAGAGGCTGGCGAGGGCTGGAGCGGGGGGCTTCCTGAAGCCATTGACAGCAGGGCTCGGGGTAGCAACAAAAGGCGGGAGGCCACAGACAGCAGCGCCGGCATCCAAAGAAGTGACAGGAGCAGAGCAGCCTGGGAGCAGGCAGTGAATTCAGTTGTCTTCCCACAAATACCCCAGGCAACTGCACCCCGGAAACCTTTCGCTTGGATAGACATTCGGGTTTTGCCCTCCCTCTTCTGTACCCCGAAAGTAAAGGTCCCTGAAGCTGAGAGAGAAACGTAAAAAAAATTAATGCAAAGGCTCAGTTTTTACTCTCTCCTCAGCGGCCAACCTCTGGGGTTTTGGGTAAGGGTGGTGGTGGTCGAGGCTTCGGGGTCCAGAAGGGGCGGTGCTGGTCACTCACCCCTCCGCCGAGCAGGACTGCGGGAGCCCGGACCCCCCTCATGCAGCCTACGCTGCTAGAGGAGGATTGAATATCAAAGGCCACGAGTAAAGCAGAGAAAGCACCCCCAAACCCAGGAAGAGCCGCCCCTTCTTACCTGGGCGGCAACCACGTGATAAAACAACGCACACCACGTGATGAGGCAGCACCAGCGCCTCAGGAGGCAGCCAATCCCAGCCCTAACGTGGTCCAATTTGCCCCGCTTCCCGGTGGGGGAGGAGCGAAGGGGGAGCTGACCAATCCACAGAAGAAACTGCAACCGTTTACGGAAACGGCACTCTGTCGTTTCCGCGTAAACCGGAAAGGACCAATTGCGCGCCCGGGAGAGCCGCTGCAGCGTTCCCTTGTCACGTGAGAAGATCTAATTCCACACCCCCCCACTCGGGTGGCGGTATCTCAGTGAGCGACGCGAAGAGGCCAAGCGCTGACCAGCCCTGCAGGCCGTGTAATGAAAGAACTGGCGCTAGGAAAGCGGGGCTGGAGGCCCCGCAGACTTGATGCGCCAGGTTGTGGAGTAAGGGCACATTCTTAATGCTCAGAGCGTGCCTCGTATCAACCCCCTGCACTGTTCCGCGACACCTTAAGGAGTGGGAGAGTCTGAGAAAGTTCAACCTCCAGGGGAGAAAAGAGCGCTCCCTGCCCTTTTGGCTAGAACTGATACTTGCCTGGGTTTGGGAATGAACAATGATAATATGAGAAGCCAGCTCTCCCTGGGTGGGGGGAGTCATTCGGCAGGCACTGTCATGGCTAGGTGAGGAAAAACATTTTAAAAGGGCAGCGTGAGACGCTGTGAATGGCATGATAAAAATGGGGCTACAGGCGTCTCGGCCTTCCTAATTTCAAACCCTAAAGCTGGAGACAGACTCATGGATCCCGAAAAGAGGAGACGAGGTCTGCAGGTTGGGGATTAGGGAGAGGACACCAGGAAGTAGTGATGGACCTTTTGTCCTTTATCCCCTTCCTATTTCATTCTTCAGGACTTCTCTGTCAGCCTTGGGTCTCCCTCCCTAACTTATCTCCCCCTGGAAGCCAGGGCCTGTCCTACACATCCTGTGGCCCAAAAATGGAGAGAGGGGCCAATGGAGAGAGAGGAATGGGAGGACAACGCAGAGCAAGAGGGTCTTGCCACTCCTTGCCCAGTATTCCTGCTCCCTACAAAGTCTGCGTCTCTGGTCAGCTGGGTGGGCGTGACTGGGCATTTCCCAGGCTAATATCAGACTTCTCTTATACTTATCTCTCTGGGAGCTCTGTCTCTGGTTTCGAGTTGGTCTCTGAGATACATCTCTGTGGGGTCTTTCAGTGTTGTATTGGTTTCTTTCTCAGGACTGGGTTTCCTTTTGATTTTCTGCCTTTAGGGATTTTTCTGCGTATGACCACTCTCTCCCAAGGTCTTTCAAACTTCGTTATGAATTTGAGGTCACTGAGTTCTCCATCTCTGGACTAGCTGTCTTCCTCTCTTTCTTGCTCTCCCACCCCCACTTCCCCTTCTCCTTCTTCCCTCGCCCCCAACCCCAAGGTCTGCAGTTTGCTTTCTCTAAGATCTAAATCTGGGGTCTCTGATATCTCTCTGAACCTGAGTTCTCTAGTTCTATGTCCGGGTTCTTTCTGAACCTGGGTCTTTTTCTTTGAGTCTAGGCCTCGGGACTTGGTCCCTGAAATTACCATTTGAGTCTAGAGTCTAAGATTTCTGTCGTTATGGAGAACCTTTTTGAGACTGGTTGCTCAGATTTTGACCCCTCAAAGAGGTCTAGGTTTTGGCGGGGGTCGGGGGGTTGTTCTTGATTTTTACTGAGGTTGAGGTCTGTTTTCTTCTGGATTTTGGATTTGTGCCTCAGATTAAACCTCCCATCCCCCACCCCACCCCACCCCACCCCACCGCCCCCGGGGCATCAAGGTATCTTTCTGTGGGTCTGCATCTTTAGAACTGTCGTCTTTATCTCTGGTGTTTTTGAGTAAGGGGTCTCTGTCTCTCTGGTTCTCACTGGGTAGGGGTGGGGGCTGCAGAGTCTCTCTCTCTCTCCTCCTCCTGTTCTCTCCTCTCTCGCTCACTCCCCCGCCCCCCTCTCTCTCTCTCTCCCGGCTGCCGCTGCTGCCGTTGGCTCCTATTCTCCTCCTCCTCCTCCTCTCTCCTCCTCTCTGCTCCACTCCGCTTCTCTCTCCTCCTCTCTCCTCCTCCTCCTCCACCTCCTCCTCCTTCTCCCCCTCTCTCTCCCCCTCTTTCTCTCTTCTCTTTCTCCCCCGTCCCCCGCCCCCTCCCCGCCCCCCTCCCCCGCCCTAGGCCTGATGAGCAGGTCTCGCGCCTCCATCCATCGGGGGAGCATCCCCGCGATGTCCTATGCCCCCTTCAGAGGTACGTTGGTGAGGGGAGGGGGAGGGCCAGGGCCAGTTGGAGGGGGTAAAGGGGGGAGGGGCAGGGCGGAGGAAGGGGCAGAGCGAGGCCAGGGAAGGAGAGCCGCTGAAATGGAGGGAGACAGGAGGTCTGGGAAGACAGGACAGAAGCAGTGAGGAGGGAGGGATTAGAGGCCAGAGCACCGAGATAGATAGGGACCGGAGGGGCCAGGAAACAGGCCTTAAAGGGGGCTGAGGTGAAAATGGTGAAGGGGAAAGAGATCGCCCGAAAGGGTTGGATGATAGGGTTGCGGGAAGAGCAGCCGAAAGAATTTGGAGGTGGGAGCTGAGAGATGTGGAAAATGTCAAGGAAATAGAAGGGCCGAGTCAGGAGAAGGGTTAGGAGGGGGAAATGAAAACACAGGGGTGCAAAGAGAAGCCAAGAAGATGGGGGTCAGAATATGGTGGCGGGGCTCAAAGAATAGTGTGGGGTAGAAAAAGAGAGGAGGATGGAGGGAGAGGAGAAGGGGCCAGATGGAAAGAGGGAGGCTGTGTGTGAGGGGGGAAGGGATGGAGGGTCCAGATGGAGAGAAGAGAAGAGAGGGAATGGGCTGGGGGAGGAGAGACCAGGGCAGGGGGAGGGACAAATATGTGTGTTTGTTGGGGGAGGGGGCACAATACAAAGAAGATTGAGTGTTGGGAGTAGGGCAGCAGGTTAGACTGCCCAGACTTTGACCCTCATTAAGGCCTTTGACCAGTGTAACATAACCCCTGGGGTCTTTCCGTTCCATTCACTTAACCACTTTTACCCCTCCCCCACCTCCAATCCTTATTTCCATTCCTCTTCCCTCCTCTGGTGTCCATCACCTATATCTTTCCCCCCATATGGTGTCCGTTCCTTATATGAGTCCCCCTTCTGTCCTTCCCCTATATCAGTCCTTTCTCTGGTGTCCATTCTCTTTCCCTATCTTTTCTCTAGTAGCTCCCTTATATCTCTACCACCTCTTCACCCCCTCCTTCTTGACCCCCTTGTCCTAATATTCCTGTTAGGTCCACCTGATTCTCTCTGCCCCACGTCCAGTTGGGCCCTTCTGGTATATTTCCTTGTCACTAGGAATTTGCCATAATTTCTACCTCCTCTTCTCCCAGAGCCATCCCTGTTTGTGCCCCAGCCCATCCTCTATTCCCTGCCCCATTCCCTATCTTGTCAGTAGAAGTCCGTGCCTACCCAATTTCCCCTGATACTCCAGCTCTTATCACCCATTCCTTTTTTCTTGTCTCCTCTACTTTCTGAGGTGTTGGAGATTGGGGGTGCAAAGACACAGGTTTTGATGGTTGGAACAGGGACCACAAGAGGCCCCCGTCTGAGCCCTGTGGGATTTCTTGTCCTAATAAGCCTCTCCCCTTTCTCAGCTGTGTTCCTCTGTCTCTTGCATCGCCTCCCAGAGTCATCCTTTCTTAAGTCCAGACAACGTGTGTGTGTGTGTATGTGTGTGTTTCCAAAGTTGCTCCTAAGCTCAGTTCTCTGTGTCCTTCCCTGCTCCCAGGAAGAAGGTGCCCCCTGAAGTCTAACCTGCCTCCCTGTGGCTGTAGCCTGAACCAGTCCCTCCCATAATGATTATGTATATCAACAGATTTGTCCTCTGGGGGTTCTGAGAGTCTGAGTGCATTGGGCATGTTGCCTGCAGTCAGTGTCTGCAGCCTCAGAGCCTTGGTGAGCTCTGTATACAAAGGATATTGCTTAGAGAGTCTCTGAGATGACATTGAGATAGTAAAGAGTTTCACAGTATTGGGGTTTCTAGATATCTGTATTCTGGGCACTTATCTCAGGCTCTGGTGTGCAGGTCGGGTAAATTTGAAGGACATGTTTGTAGACAGAAGGAGTCTAGATTTTCCAAAACTCTTACTTAGGGCATTTGGTTGGAATGAAGCTCAAAGATAAGTTTTTTCCCCCCTGCAATATATCTGCCATTAATTATCCTGTAAAGGTGACAGAATTTGATGTTTTTTCCTCTGAACTCTTTCACACTTTGATGCCTTAAGCCTCTTTTCTATCACTTTGGTGTCACCAATTTGATTCCTCTCTTCCACAGGGCCTGTCCCCTGTGTCCCTGTGATAGTGTATAGCATTGAGGTTTAAAGAAGAGGCAATTTGCAGAAATGGTGGCATGGGGAGAACAGCAGAGCCGAGGAAGGGTGATCCTGGGGGCATCTCCGAGCATGGGCAATCCTTGGTCTTTTCTAGAAGTTTTGTCCTCATCCCAAGCTCCAGTCTTTGGAGGTCCCCTCTGTGTCACAGGCCTGTATCTTCCATTCTTTCCTCCCCTCTTTCTTCCTCAGGCTCCTCACTGTGCCTCAGGAAGTTTCCTAACCCTTGGACTTGGCTTCCCTACTGTTCATGGAGACTAGGTGGGGAGTGGGGTATTGAATCTTTGATTTCTGAGCATGAAGTAGGGGAAGAGATCAATTGTCTCTATTCAAACAAGGACCATTTCCTACCTCCTCACTCCCCAACTGCTTCACAAGACTCATCCACCCCCTACCACCTGAAGAACCAGAACTTTCCCCAGAGATGGGCAGGGTTGGGCTAGGAGAGGAGGGAGCAGAGGATAGAGGAGAGGCAGGACGGAAGGCCCACTCATGTCTCTGACCCTGAAGAGGTAAGCTCCCTCACTTTCTCTCTTTTCCAGATGTTTAGCTCTCAGAATCTTATGACCTGCGTGTTCCTACACCCCAATCCTTCTTTCCCACAGCTGTGTGGCGTTCTTTTTA